AAAGCTGCTGAGGATGATGAGAAAAAGGCAAGAGGCTGTGACTGCGCTGGGAGGGCGGGGAGGGCCCGGCACTGCCCCTGACACGGGCACAGCACCTCGGGAAGAATTTGCTGGCGTGTGCGGGGTCTTATTTTTGTGACTCGGGTGCCTTTGGCTGCTTTTCCCACTGATCCGAGGCCCGCGGAGAGCAGATTTAATGCTTTGTTACTCCTTTGGCTTTTCACTTGGAAAAAAGGGGGGGAAATGGAGAGGGGGAGTACCCGAAACACCTCAGAGCTCGGAAGGAGCCGCGGGACGGGAGCAAAATCCTCCTTGGGGCCGGGGTTGCGGCTCGGAGGGGCCGGCACGGGGCCGGGAGCGGAGCTCTCATTCCCGGCGTGTGGAGCGAGCGGCTCTCCCGAACAAAGAGCTCTCTGCTCCGCCAGCGCCATCGATCCAGGCTGCCCCCGCAGCCCGGCGAGCGCCAGCGGCTGAAGGACAACGGGATCTCATCAGAAAGCAGCTAATTAAGGACATTTCCAGCCCCCCGCCCCTCCCCTGCCTCGCCGGGCTCGGAGCAGCAGCAGATGCGTGCCGGGCTCTCAGCCTGGCACATACATTTACTAAATTGATGTATGTCCGTACATACGCTCGCAGTCAGCGGCGCTGCTCGGAAATAAACTGCGGGAGCCGAGCCGCGTAAATCTTCCCGAGATGGGGAACGGAGGAATTCAGAATTAAAACTGAAACCTGGCTTCCCACCCGCTCCCCCCCTCGCCAATAACAGGCTCTTTAAACCGAAATTGATCTCTCTCATTGGTATGCGGCTGCTGCAGAGGCTCCTGCCCTTTGTTCTGCAAGGCAGCGAGCGGGGAAGGAGCGGCCGGGATTGGCGCAGATGGAACGGCCGAGCAGGAGACCCCAGCCCGGGGAGACCACCCGGCCGTGCCGGCCCCCGGCCCCGGGCTGTGCTCCGGGCATCGCCTTTAGGCTGCCCCAGCCCCAATATTCCTCAACAATTAATCCCAAATATCCTAAATATCCTAAATATCGGGGGCTGTCGGCTCTTAGGGAAAGGATTGTCCCTGCTCGGAGCCGCTGTCCGGGCGAGGTCAGCTGGTCACTCAGTGCCCGGCGCTGGCCGGAGCTGCGCTTCCAGCGTCCACTTTGGTGTTTGTCCTCCCTTTTTGCCAGGGTGGTCTCGCACCAGCGCCGTTAATTAAAAACACAGGCGCAGCGGGAGCTTCCCCGGGGGCGCTTTAAGCGGTTTGAAACTTTGCTGCATGTTAATCTGGCTCCTCTGGAATTCCCGCAGCAGCCCTGAAAGGGCAGGGAAATGGTTATTGCTGCACCTTCCGCAGCAGCGCCGCCCGCCCAGGGAGGGCAGGGAGGGCACGGAGCTGCAGCCGCATCCCCCTCTGGAACCCCCAGCTGTGGGGCAGCATCCCCCTCTGGAACCCCCAGCTGTGGGGCAGCATCCCCCTCTGGAACCCCCAGCTGTGGGGCAGCATCCCCCTCTGGAACCCCAAACCCAGGGGCTGGAGCCTCACTCTGCTCTAAACCATCCACATTTACCCTTTTACTGCTGGGATGGATGGAGCAGGGATGGATGGATGGATGGATGGATGGATGGATGGATGGATGGAGGGATGGACAGATGGATGGAGCAGGGATGGATGGATGGATGGATGGATGGATGGATGGATGAATGGATGGACAGATGGATGGAGCAGGGATGGATGGATGGATGGATGGATGGACAGATGGATGGAGCAGGGATGGATGGATGGATGGATGGATGGATGGATAGACCAGGTGATGTGCAGGGTCTGGAGCATCATCCTTGCTGTGCCTCCCTCCCTGCTCTCCCTCCAGGTGTGGCATGGGGACACTTTCGCTTGTCCCCCTCATTCCACTTGTCCCCCTGCCCCTTCCGGTCCCCACACGTCGTTAACTGGTTCCACTGGGCCACGTGGCCCTGCTGGATCCCAGGGTGGTGGCAAGTGGCCAAGTCCAGGCATATGGTTGGGTTTTATTTTAATGGGGCGCTCATAGATATTTAATAACTTGCATGGCTCTTTGTTTGCTTTTGATAATCGGGTAATAAAATAATTCAGGCTGATTTATACAATGTTTTACAGCTCTTCTGTGAGTGAAAGTGCCTCCTGTAACTCGCAGGCATTTGGCTTGGGTACCTGTTCTCCTTAGCAGGGCCCTTTTTATACCAAAAAATCATAACAACAACCCGTGGAGAAGCCGTGTGTGTTACTGAGAACCCACAAACTGCTGCCATCTGGGGCTGCCTCTCCTTCCTGGGCCTCCGTCTCCGTTTGGCCAGCGCTGGAGCAGCCCTGCTCTCTGCCTCGGGCTCCCAGATGCTGCTTCAGTACAAATAAATAAAAATAATTTGGCAAGAGCTGGGAGCCGGAGCCGCTTCCTCGGGGAGCAGCTGAACGTTCTGCAAACAATGCGAGCCGATTGTCCTTTCTGGAGCTGATTGTCCTTTCTGGAGCTGATTGTCCTTTCAGATCTGATTGTCCTTTCCCTCCTGCAGGGCTCAGGGGCCCTGGACATGTCCCTGCCCTCCACGCCGGACATCAGGATCAAGGAGGAGGAGCCGGTGGAGGTGGACTCGTCCCCGCCGGACAGCCCCGCGTCACGGCCACGCTCGCCCCAGCACAAGGACAAGGTGGGGCCGTCCCCACATCCCCATGGTCCCTTTGCATGTGGGGCCAGGGCCTGAGCTGGGCTTTTCTGGGGCCTGACTTGGGCTCCTTGAGACCTGAGCTGGAGCTTCCCCTCCCTCTGAAACACCCTGAGCCGAGGGGCAGGAGCGCCTCCCCTCCTCACCGTGTGCCGTGTGCTCCCCTCAGTTCCTGGGTTTTTGGAGGCTGCAGGATTTAAAGGCTGCAGGAATTTGGAGGCTGCAGGATTTGAAGGCTGGCCGTCAGCAGCCCCTGTTGTGTGTTCTGCCCTGCAGGAACTGCCCTCCAAGCCACTGATGCTCTCCACACCCACGCCCACCATCGTGCGGCCGGGCTCGCTGCCGCTGCACCTGGGCTACGACCCCCTGCACCCCACGCTGCCGTCCCCCACCTCCGTCATCACCCAGGCCCCCCCCTCCAACAGACAGCTGGGGTGAGTACGGACAGCGTGTCCTGGGGCAGGAGTGCGGATCCTGAACGAACTCCTGGGGCTCCAGAGCCGCTCCAGGGGCTGCTCACGGTTCCTCACGGCTGCTCACGGCTGCAGCGGTGCTGGGATGGGAGTGCAGGAAGCAGGAACTGATTGTCCTGGAGTGAGGGAACGAGGCAGAGCTCAGTGAAACAAGACAAAACTCGCCGTGGGGAGAGATGAAAGCGCTCCCTGAGCTCAGCACGGCGGTGCCCGGTGGTGGGGAACGGTCTGGAGCTGGAATGGCTCAGGGATTGTCTGGAGCTGGAATGGCTCAGGGATTGTCTGGAGCTGGAATGGCTCAGGGATTGTCTGGAGCTGGATTTCTCAGGGATTGTCTGGCCCTGGAGGCCCTGGAGGCTGCAGCTCCGGGCTTGGCAGGGCCTGCTCGGGGAGGAAGGATCCTGGGGGTGCAGGGATGGCCCTGAGCCCTCGGGACAGGCACAGACCTGGAACACGATGCGGGAATTGTTTGTTTCTGCAGGTCTCCCACCGGCTCCCTCCCGCTCGTGGTGCAGCTCGCCAACGGCCAGGCCATGCCCGTGCTGCCCGGCCCCCCCGTGCAGATGCCGTCTGTCATTTCGGTGAGAGAAACTTCCAGAACTCCCTGGCCGGAGCAGGGAACGGGCCCGGCCCTGCCAAGCGCTGCCGGTCACGAGCGCTCGGATCTCTGTCCGTGCGAGGCTGCAGGAGGAGGAGGAGGAGGAGGAGGAGAGGAGGGGCAGCTCTGGCAGGGCAGCAGTAACGTGGGGATCACACCAGAGGGCAATAAGTTTGGAAAAATCCAAATCCGTGCCCGGACAGATGGCTGGCGCCGCCGGGCCGGGGCTGGGAGCCGCAGGATCCCTGATTAGCTGCTTCCATTTGGAACAGCCTGCTCCGAGGGCAGCCGAGCTTGCAGGGAACACGTCCGGCTGTGCCGGCCCCGGAATGTCACCTCCAGCCCGGGCTGGGCTCTGCACACGGAGCTGCCCGAGCGCTGCCGAGCCTCCTCACCCCTTCCCTCACAATTCTGAGCCCTTTGGGGGGCTAAAAGCATTTCCAAATCCTCCACATTCTGCTTTCTTTCCCTTTTTTTGAGGGAGAAAGCTCAAAGAGGAGGCACAGTGGCAGCTTTGCCACGGAACCAGAGCGGATTTGGTGCCTCTCCCCTGATCCTTGCACTGCTGGGGAGGGAAGGGAGGGATGGGATGGAGTTGAGGCATTTGTCAGCATTTACAGACCTGCTGCTCCTCTCCCCAACCCTGCTGTCCCCGCTCCCCTCGCAGCTGGCCCGGCCGGTGGCCATGGTGCCCAACATCCCTGGCATTCCCGGGCCCCCCATCAACAGCAGCGGGTCCATCTCGCCCTCGGGACTCCCGGCACAGTCCGAAGCCAAAATGGTGAGTGGTGGGGAGGGGGTCACGGGCCTGTTCCTCAGCCTGCTCAG